ATCAGGCTCTGGGGAGCCAAAAGTGCGGCTTCTCATTGGGAAAAGAATCATAGTTTGGGGACAACCTATTTTACCAGCTCAGAGAAGAGGTGAAACACCCTGAGCTCTGCCCCACCATCATGCTCTCAGTGCAGGTGCAGGTGAGATGCTGCAGGTGAACTGGGGAATGGGAGGATGGAGGTGAACTGGTGGACATGAGGATGGAGATGAGCTGGTAGATGCGAGGATAGAGTTGAACTGATGGATGTGAGGATGGAGTTGAAATGGTGGACATGAGGATGGAGATGAGCGGGTGGGCTCAGAATGGAGTTGAATTGGTGGATGAGAGGATGAAGATTAACTGATGGATGTGAGGATGGAGTTGAACTGGTGGGCTCAGGATGGAGATGAACTGGTGGGTTCAGGATGGAGATGAACTGGTGGGTTCAGGATGGAGTTGAATTGGTGGACGTGAGGATGGAGATGAGCTGGTGGATGTGAGGATGGAAGTGAGCTGGTGGATGTGAGGATGGAGGTGAAGTGAGGACTGTGAGGATGGAGTTGAACTCGTGGATGTGAGGATGGAGGTGAGCTGGTGGCCTCTCCCCAGCTGAGACATTTTCTGCTCTGTCATCCTGAGTTTTCTGCTCTGTTTTGCCAGGCTGTGCCGGGGAAGGCGGCTGTGCCGTTCTCCCAATGCCATCTAGTGTCAGCTCCGGCAGCCCCAGACAGTTATTTTAAGGCATCAGCGCTGATTTATTGCCGAAGAATCTTTGAGGGCCAACAGGCTGCCCAGGCTGGTTATTAACAGCAGCACGTATAACTAACGGATGGGTGCGCAGGCTGGGCTGGATTATTTTTATTATCGCTCCTGTTTCGCACTAAAAACCCACCCTGGCAGGATGGAGTGCGAGGATGCAGTGCCGTGTCCGAGGTGATTAAAGTCTTTCAGCCTTCAGCCACTTTTCTTGTAGCCCCGCCATCACCTGAGGCTTAATCACTCAGAAAAGTGCTGTCATGTCCTATTGTCGCCGTATTGGGAGCGCGACCTCTTTCCCGTTTAGCTGCCACCTGAAAAGAATGCAACTTGCCAGGAGACAGGCATGACTCAGGAGGCTGGTGATGAGATATAAAGACTTTGACCTGCGGGCCGCCCATTTGGAGGCTGTCAATGTCGGTGGCAATGGCAACGATGTCCTTTGCACGGTGATTATTTGGCCAAACAACCCAAAAACAGGCAGCGATGGGTCTGTCCGTGACAGACAGCGCTAGGCTGGACAGCTCCTGCTGTGAGGGCATCAAGCTCCCAACCCCTTCCCACTGGGGTTTGGGGCTGTGTGACTGCCCACGGTCCCCCCCTGCTTAGGAATTTGTCCTCCACATCTTTCCCTTGCCACCGTTGCAGGGGCATGGTCTGCTTAGGATGAAAACGCTCTCATTTCTCTCTCATTTCTGCCATTTTATGGACAAATAGCCACAGCAGCATCTCCCGTGGCCCATCCATCAGCCTGCCAGCACAGAGGAAGGTTTCACAGGACACGTGTGCCCTGTCCCCTGCTCGCCCTGTCCCCTGCTCGCCCCGTCCCCTGCTCTCCTCACCACCACCACCTGCCATGATTTAGGTCCCTGCTAAGCTCATCCTCATCCTCAGCCACTGCTGACCACGTCAATTTATCTCCTCGGCTGCAAACCACCTCATCGAGGCACTTTGAGTCGGTGATTAATTAAGGTCTCCCTAGAAATGAGGTTACTCCCTGCAGCCTCACATATAAATGCAAGATTAATGGGTGCTGGCCGTGTTAGGTGGCCACGACCAGGCTGGGCCAGCGAGGGTTTGCCTGCTGTCACCCAGACAGTCCTTGAACACTGATTTTCCGTGGAAGAACTTCCAAATAATCTTGTGGGATGGGGAGTGCAGCTGGCAGTGCAGTGGGGAGCCATGGGGCTGAGGAAAGGGGGTCCCAGGGCTGAGCCAGGCTGGGTTGGAAGCAGCAGCGATGCTCCCACGACTTTCCCGACTTTCCCAGTGGCTGAGCCAACATCCAGCTTGCTCTGGGTGTTTAATTTTCACTAATCTGTTTGGGGTTTTTTAATTATCGGCAAACAAGGTGTCTGCTTCATGGAATAACAATGGTGCTGGGGACAGTGGGCGGCTGGGCTGTGCCCACACCCCTTCCCTGCCGCTCAGCACCGCTCCGAAATTTTACCCAGGACTTGTTTGTCTGTCCTTATCCATCATCAGTCCCAGGATTCCGCCCTGCTCACCGGCATCTGCATGCAGCAGGAGCGAGTCCTGCCCAGCTGGTGTGTAAAAGCCTTCGCAATCACCCTGTGCCACGGAGCTGGAGGAGGGTTTAAATACAAGGCTCTTTAATAAGATGAAAAGAGCCCTTTCTTTCCCCACTGGTTTTCTGCTTGCTCTTTCATGCTGCAGGAGCCCTCGGGTTGTGTCAGGGCCTGCCTCTCCGTGGGCTGACAGGTTTCCTAACTCCCTGCACTGTCAGCACTGTACCAGGAACAGCAAATACCAGTTGCAGCAGCTGGAGGAGGAGGAAGGCCAGGTCAGAGCAGTGCCTGGCCTCATGTGTTTGGGTTTTTTCCTCCAAAACATCCTCAGTGGCACCGGTGACCTGCAGAAAACCCTGTGCCTCATTGTATGCAGCAGGAAAATGGGTCCAATCCCGTTTACCTGTCTCCTCCAGAGCTGGCTGTGGTGTTTGATTCATGTCAGCAGCTTGGCTGGTGACTGCGGGATGAATGACGCTATATAAATGCAAAGTGTTATTAATATTTCATGTTGTAGTGAAAATGTACTAATGGGGCTTGTTCCTGGAAGATAAAGTGCTGCCATTAATACACCTTTGTGTCCCCTGTGCTGGGGACTCACCTGTGGAGGAACGGAGGGGCTCTACCTGGAGCAGAAACTGCCCCACACCTGGCAGCTCCCCAAAAGAGGGGATTTTAACCCAGAAACACACAAAGAGCCACTTCTGACATGCACAAAATTAGGGGTACCACGGGCAGAACGTTCCCCCCACCCCACCCACCACTGGGTGCTGGTGGATGGGTGCTGCTCTGGGCCCTCCCTGCCTGCCCATGGGGGACCCAGCCTCTGGGAACCCCCTGCCCAGCACAGCCACTACACAGGCGTGTTAAAAAAAATAAAAATGGGCTTGTTTGATTTCAAACTGCAGAACTCTTCCCTGGAGCCATCCGCAAACACTGGTAATTTACTTTACAGCTGTTTAGATTTGTTTCTCTACATTTTTTTTAAACCCCAGCAGAATTGCAAATGAAATGTGTGTTTGCTCCTCAAATGACTCCAGCCGTACCTGAACTCCTGCACCCCACACCTCCTTGGACTCTCTCCCCTCTGACCCCTATCCCTGCACCCCACAGCTGTGAGATGGGGGTCAGACCTCCAAGAGGGGGTTCTTTGAGCTGGGGGTTCATTTTTGGGAGGGCTCCAGATTCTGATATCAAGGAGGGGTGATGGAGAAGAGACTTGTGCCAGCTTGCAGGTGAGGGGAGCACAGGTAAGCAGTTCATTAATTGCCAGTGAAATTATCAACTGCCACCCACTTAATAGAGGGTGGTGAGGGATATAGACTCTGCTAATATATTGCCACGGTGAAAAGTTTCAATAAAAAAGGATTATAAAGGGCAGTGTTGGGCTGAGAGGCTCCCAGCGCTGTGGGCAGGGACTCCCAGGATTTCGGCCACTTTGGAGGAAGAGAAATGGGTGCAGGGAAGGCATGAGGGACCCCAGGTTGTGCTGAACATCCCTGCAGAAGGTGAGGACTGCCAGCCCCGAGCTCCCACCCCTGCCCACGGCGGAGCAGCCGGCTCAGCCCTTCCCGGCACCGCAGCGCTGCGGGGCCGCCCTTGGCCTTGGGAAATCTGACATTCCACGGGACACGTGGGGATCCGCCAGGAGCCTCGTCCCTTCCCCCGGGAATCTCCTCCTCGCTCCCAGGAGCTCGGGGGTGACTCAGGTGCGCTCTTTGTGCCGGCGATGCGCTCCTGCCCTGGGCAGGTGCCGACCCGCAGCAGCGCCGCCGAGGGACACCCGCAGGTGAGCGGCCTGGGGACCCCCTCTGCCGCGACCCCCGGCCCCCAGGAGGTGGGGAGGGCCCTGGGGAAGTGCTTCAGCCCAGCCTGGCACCAGGGAGATGGGCACTGCCAGCAGTGTGTACAGGGAAGGAGGAATTGGGGCTTTGCGCGTTCCGGCTGCCACGGGAGGGACGAGAACCGGGACCGTCCGTGGGCACTCCAGTGCTGTGGGTGGGTGGGTGCAGTGGCTGAGCTGTGCAGAGCAGGGGATGTGTAACCCCTCGGCGAGGGGGAATCTTGGTATTTCACCGGTAGGCAAAATATTTAAGGAGAGGCGATGCCAAACGCAGCCCTGGGAGTCTTTTCTGCAGCTCCACAGCGCGTGGGGTGCGTTCATCTGGCACGATGCGAGTCAAATCAGAGGGCAAACCGGGGTCAAATCGGCCACGCAGGGGCCTGGGGTTGGTGAAAATTGGTAGTTTTGGCTGCCCGGCCCCACGGCAGCCCCTTGGCGCTGCAGCCCCCCAGGCCAGCCGCTGCCTCTGCCCTGCCGTGGGCTGCCGGTGCGTGGGGACACGGAGCGGGGACACCGGGCTGCTCCTGCGCTGCCCGGGGGAGCCACGGCAGATTCCAGCGATGGGAGAGGACGCGGCAGCGCAGTCACGCCCCGGCGGCTCCGATTTGTTGTCTGCCTGGGCCAGGCCTGGCAACGTCAGGGAAATTAATAACAAATACCTGGGCAACGAGGCGGGAGCTGGGGCGGGATGGGGCTGAGCCGTGCACCGGAGGTGGCTGGAGGATGCTGTGGCTGTGGCAGAAACCCCGAGCGTTGTCAGGTCCCTGTCCACAGTGGGGACGGTGCTTGGAGGACACCCAGAGCAGGTCTGTGCTGTCAGCACAGGTCAGGGATGGTCGCAGCAGCATGGCTCGGTGCTGTGAGGTGCACAGTGGGGACCTTTCGCTGCTGCTTCAGTGTCTGTGTGTTCTCTCTTCCCAGGCTGGCTAACAGGATCGGGGAGCCATGAACTGGGGGTCGTTTGAGGGGCTGCTCCGTGCCGTCAATGTGTACTCCACAGCCTTCGGCCGCATCTGGCTGTCCCTCGTCTTCATCTTCCGCCTGCTGGTCTACGTGGTGGCGGCCGAGAAGGTCTGGAGCGATGACCACAAGGACTTCGATTGCAACACGCTGCAGCCGGGCTGCACCAACGTCTGCTTCGACCACTTCTTCCCCGTCTCCCACATCCGCCTCTGGGCCCTGCAGCTCATCCTGGTGACGTGTCCGTCCCTCCTGGTCCTCATGCACGTGGCCTACAGGGAGGCCAAGGAGGAGAGGCTCCGTGAGATCAAAGGGGACAACTATCGCCGCATCTACCCCAACCCCGGCAAGAAGCGGGGCGGGCTCTGGTGGACGTACCTGCTCAGCCTCATCTTCAAGGCCAGCGTGGACGTGGTCTTCCTCTACATCTTCTTCCGCTTCTACAGGAACTACACCCTGCCCCGGGTGGTGAAGTGCGAGCTGCCGCCCTGCCCCAACGTGGTGGACTGCTTCATCTCCCGGCCCACCGAGAAAAACATCTTCACCCTCTTCATGGTGGTCACCACCTGCATCTGCGTGGTGCTGAACGTCATCGAGGCCACCTACCTGGTCGGGAAGCGGTGCCACGAGTGCCTGGAGGCCGGAGGAGGGGACAGCCGGCGGCACAGCCACGACTGCCCCGTGTCCTGCGCCGACCCCGTGGGCACGGGCAGGCAGGTGTTCCATGGGGCTGACTACAAACCCCCCACGGCCACCATCCCTCTCACAGCCTCCTGCCCCACCACGCTGTCCGAGGATGAGGCGCAGTCCTAGAGCTGCCCAGCTGGCCTGCGACTCCCTGGCTGCTCTTCCTCCTCTGTGCTCCAGTGCAGGAGTGCTGAGGGCGGCAGCACCCTGGAGTTGGGCTGTGCCTGAGGGGTCTCTGCCTCTCCTGTCCTGGGAAAGGCACTTTACATCGACCTGCTGAATTTGGGGGGAAGCAGGGGCTGTAGAACACGTGCTGGCCCTGGCTGTGATAGGAGCAGCAGCTCCATGGCAGCAGTGAACTGACAGTGGTGCCCAGACTCTGAGCCTGTACCAGCCAGGACAGACACCCTGATCCCCCAGGAAACCCATCTCCCTATCTCTCACCCTTCATCAGCCACTCTGTGGGTGTCAGGGTCACCTCAAACTGATGCAATTGTCATTAATAACACTTATTAGTTGAGTGGGGACAAGAGCAGGTCCTTGGTGCTGCAACCACCGTGGTGAAGCGCAGGCGTGAGGATCCGGCCAGGCAGGCAGAGCCCGTGTGAGCTGCTGGATCATCCTGCCTGGCCAGGGCAAAACACCTGAGCAAAACAGCCAAACACAGGAGAGGAAAAACACCCCAAGCATTTATTAAATAATAACATTAAATGGCAGAATCTGATCTCGTTTATTGTTGTAATACATCGCGTTCGGCCGTGACACGGGCGGTGCTGCCATTCCGAGGCCATCAGAGGCAGCTGAGCATTAGCTGGCATGAATAATTAACAATAATTTCATGGCAAATGAGCTCACAAGCAACATTAACATTGAACATGCAGCTCGATCTGTTACTGGTCTTGCTTTACTCGGAGGGTGTGATAATTATTTTTGCCACGAGCCGTGGCAGGGCCAGCGCTCCCTGGCTCTGTCCCAAAAGAAGTGGCACAGGGGGGTGAGGGAACACCATTGCTGTGTCCTTTATGTGACTGAGGCCATTCTCAGTGACAGATCATTGCAGTGATCCAGCTGAGACCCTCCATGGGCAAAACTGGGCTCATTCCCAGAGTGGAGGGGAGGCTGAGGGGCTGCTGCACCCGAGGGGATGCTGAAGGGCAGCCAAGGGCAAGCAGGGCTGCAGCACTGCTGGATGGGAGGGCAGGGACTGAACCAGCCACTGGTGGGGCTGAGGATGGTGGAGAAGCCCTGGGAGGATCCTGGCCACGGGCACAGAGCCCAGAGCAGCTCCCTGTGCTGAGTCTGGGGACTTTGGGGTCAGAGATACAGATCATGAAATACACAGGGAATTTTCTCCACTTCTCAAGGGAAGCTGTGCTGGCACTGCCTTCCCTCCATCCACTCCTCTGCTGGATTATCCACCTGAAAGTTTTCTTTAGGAAGTGCATAACGTCAGAGGACACAAGTTGTTCTTTGTGTGCGAGCATTGCTCCGAATTAAAGAGCATGGGCTGGGCTGTTTGTTTTCCAGCAAGGTTGGCCACTCCTGCTGCAGCCTGGAGAGTAGAACCCTGAGGAGTTCCCCTCTGCAGGCACTAATGGGGACAGAGATGAGCCCCAGAAAAACCACCCAGTCCCACTTCCACGCACCAAAGCAGAGCTGGGGCTGCTGCCCATTGTGAGACACCTGAATTTCCACTTGCTGGATGTTGTTGGGCGGTTTTGTCGTGCTCAGAGCAAACACTGCATGTTGGAATCTGTGGTATTGATGATTCTGAGATTGTAGAAAGTCTCTGTCTTTCAGCCCCGCTGCCAAAGAAGAAGCCATAATTCGTCTGTGGCATGAAGAAGGAGAAAAAGGACAAGACACACCCAATTTCCTCCATCTTGTCCCCTTTGGACCCCTCATCTAGAATCCTAAAATTTTACTTTTGCACCCGTGCCACACTTAATTATTACTCATGTCAAACCCTCAGAGCTTGTAATTCATCCTGTGAGATTGAAAACTCTTTTCCATGGACAGAGATCACAGCCAGTGTCTCTGGGGGCTCTGTCCAGGGGGGTTCCTGACCCCTGCCAGGGTCCCAGACCTGCCAGGGCAGCCAGAGGGAAGCCCTGGATTCCCACAACTGCAGAGCTCTGGGTGTCTTGTGCCATCCAGGCTTGAGATAAGCAGCAGTCAGACTGAAAAACGGGAACATTTGACTGCTGGTTTTGACATTGGTGCTGCAAAAATATCAGTCTGGATACTGGGATATCTCCTGGGATGCAGGGTCAGCAAACCAGGGGGTGTGTCACAATAAAAGCTGAACATTTCCCAGATTTTGCATCCTCACACAGGAAATGCCCTGTATTTCCTTGTGGGGTCCCAGAAGACCTCCTAAATTCTGGGGTGAGGGGATTTTAACTCCTTACTCCAGCCCAGGCAGGGATGTGCAGGGGATTGAGTGCACAGGTCAGGGTAGATTTGCCTTCCCAGCTTGGGCTTGATTCTGCCCTGGCCAAAACTTGCCTGTTTGCTGGGAAATGAGGAGAATCTCTCTGATTTATGTCCAGCCCTGGCTGCTGGCTCTCAGGACCCCATGACCCCTCTGCCCCTGTTCTTGCGGGGGAGTCTTGTCCCCGGGGATGTGGCCCTGGAGGGGGACAGCTGTTGGCAGGCAGAATCTTGCCATGCTCCATTTAAGACTCTTCTAAAAAGGGTCTTGGGGTTTTTTTCCTGCTGATTTGGCGTGCACCAGCTCCACTGTTTGGGTTTTTCCCTTGTGGAGGAGCCAAGGTTGGTCTCCCTAAGTCTCTGGGTGTTTCAGTGCTCACATCTGGCACTGAGGCCTCTCAGCTGTCACCCTGCTGTGTCGGAGCAGGGTGGCACCAGGGTGACACGTCCTGGGCATATCCCTGAAGCTCCCAAGTGCTGAGATCTGCAGAACCACACTGGCACCTTGCCCCTGCGCCCCCGCTACCAGCGTGGGCACAGGGATGTGCCCCTTAATGGATTTATGGATTTCCTCAAACACCCAGCTCAGCGTTTCAAACACTGCAAGCATGGGCTGCTTCAGCTCCCCACCCAGCTGCCTGGGGGGGATCTTCTGCCTGTGCCAAAAGCACCTGAATTTTCTCACCGTGACCACATGGCCACTCCAGAAATTCCAAAACTGCAGGCAAGAGGCTGCCCGGGGGTGATCTGGCCTCACTCTTCAGCTGGCCCTTAGGGGGTTTGGCCGTGGGGCAGGGAGCAGCTGCCTCTGCAAGGAATCAGAGCTGCCAGTGCTCCACAACTTCCCTCTCTCCAGGGTGTTTCACCTCACAGGCCACAATCCCCAGATTCCTGCTGAGATCTCTGCATCAACATAGCTCAAATTCCTGATCCGGGGTGAAGAGAGGCTCTGGAGCTCCTGCTTGGCTCTGATCTGGGATTGGGGTGCCCATGGCTGTCCCCTCCTCCAGGCTCCCCCCATCCTGCACCCCCAGGCTCCCACCATTGGGTCTCCTGGTCTCCCATTCCATTGTCCCCAGCCTGGCAAACCCTCACGGGCTTTATTTGACCTCCTGGAGACAAAAAGCCTCCAGGCAAGTGGCTGCTGGTCTGCCAGGAGAGCAAATCTCTGCTGGCACCAAGCGCCCTGGGGCTCTTCAGACGTGTCCCATGGGAGGGGTGGCCCTGGCGAGGTGCCGAGGTGGCTCCAGCACGGCTGATCGGCCCCAGGGTGTGCCAGAGGATTCCAGGGAAGCCTCGGGGCACTCTAGAAACCAGGTGAGGGAGGGAAGTGCATTCCTGCCCGGCTAAATCGGCACAGCCATCGATGGCGGCTGATCCATGGGGCATCCGGTGGGTGGGATGGGGTGACTCAGCCTCCTGAAGCCACCGGTGCTCTGGGGACAGGGACACCCCCCTTAGGGACACCTCCTGGGTCCCATGGGGGTGCGGGGACCCTGGTGCCACCCTGCTCCATGGGACAGTTCCCACCTGGCCACACCGGCCCCGCCAGGGCGGTGCCTGCAAGTTCCTGTAGGTTGGAGATACCGATGAGCTGTTGCAAAACTATTACTAAGGCAAAATCATTTCAAAAGTGGGTTACAATTGCGTAATGTGGGACTCTCAGCAGCTCTTGTGGTGGGCCCACAGCTGGGGCACGGTGCGAGGTCTCTGCCAGACCGTCCCTGCAGGAGATGGGACATCACCTGGAAGGAGCTGCTGGTGTTTCCTGTGCAGGAACGTGTCTGTGCTGATCTCCCTGCGGGATGGGACCTGCCTTTTGTTGTTCAAGCCGTGCGTGTGTGTGCATGTGAGCAGCAAGAGCCTCTCCGGGAGCTGTTTGCCAGACTCACCCAGTTACTGGGAACCAAACCAACCACCCTTCCCCTCCCCTCACACGCTCAGACAAACCCTGCCCGAGCAGGAGGGCTGTGGCTGGGAAGGAGCTTCCCTGCTCTGAGAGGCACTCGAATCTGGATACCTTCCTCTGGCTCTCCCACCTGGACAGGTACGTGGGGCACAGGGTACTCTGGGGCTGCCAGGGTTGAGGGGGGACAGCCTCATGGTGTAACGGGGTGGGCAGGTGGGACCTGGAGCTGCTGTGACCGTGGGGTCAGTTGTGGGGATCCCAACATCACACAGTGCCACTTTGGGACCCCACAGGCCATGCCAGAGTCCCCATTCCATGGGGTGGTGAAGGGGGATGGCACAGCGTGGCACCCCAGGGGCCAGCAGTGGCCACCCCAGGCCTTGCACCTCTGCCCCACTCCCAAAAGAGGTAGAGACCCCCTGAGAAAAGTGGTTCTGCTGAGTTTGCAGGGTTAGGTGGGAGCGGGGCGCTGCCAGGTCCAACGCCCTGCGCCCACACGGGGCAGGACCTGGCTGTGACGCAGTGGGTTGGCATCCCGGGGGCTGGCAAGGGTGCCAGGCTCTGTGGGAGGCAAAGCAGCGCTGCCGACACAGCTGAGCACACCTGAGCTGCCCCTGCTCTGCCCGGCTGCCACCCAGCAGCGGGGAGCCCCTGGGGGCTGTGTACACACCCCCTGCCACGGGGACTGGCACAGAGCTGGGCACGGAGGGCACCGCTCCTTCCTGCTCCGCCGCGGGTCCATGACTGGAGCCGGCGCTGGGCTGAACCGGGCACACGGGTGCTGGGCAGGTGGGTTTTGGGCAGCTGGGCGCTGGGCTGGTCTCACTGGCACCAGGGGTGGGGTCATGGGTGAATTGGCAGGCTGGTGAGGGGGCACAGGCTCTGGGGGCATGCAGGTTCCATCCACACCAGCTTTATGGGCAAAACAGCAGTTCCCCTCTCCCAGTTTGAAATCCAAGGGTTGGGTGGGAACGCAGTGGTTGCTCCCCACCCCGACTCCCGGCCGAGGGTTTGCCAGGGAGGAAGATCTGGTTTCAGATGGGGCAGTGAGCGAAGGTGTGTGGCCATGGGCAGAGGCACAGCCCTGGCACTTGGCACACGCTGCCAGAGACCCCAGCCCGGAGCCACTCAGCCCAGCCACCCTTCCCGGTGTGTCCCTGGGCCAGAAGTGTGGGAGCACAGCCACGGTTCGGGGCTTGCTGCGGGTGGCCCTGGGCAAGGACAGGCTCCCAGAGCGCTCCAGGGGCTCTGGGCAGTGCTCCAGGTTCTGTTCTGTCCCCACAGCCCTGGGACACCACAGTGCTCCGGATGAGAGGACTCTGATCACCAGCCTGCCATCGCGCCCTGGCTATGCCCCGTGCTGGACACTGCCCACCCCACAGCCCCCGGTGAGCGGGGAAGGAGCCTGAGCCTCCTCCAGGTACATCTCGGCAGGCACTGGGTGGGCAACAGGCAGCGGCAATTCCTTAAAAGTGAGAGCAACCCAGTGTTCGGGGAATCCCTTTGCAGGGCAGGCACCTTCACAGCCCAGAGGGGTGTAAAAACCACCTGGTTTGTAAATGCAGGTGTAGTAAAGCTCCCGGTCAGGCTTGGCGTGTCTCCCTCCTCACACAGGGCAGCCCCAGGCGGAGCTGCAGAGCCGGTTTGGCCGTCGGCTCCTCCGACGTTGCTGCCGGAGCAGGAGCAGAGCGCTGGCCAGGGTGACATGCTGGTGACACACGCAGACTGTGACACGCACGGACTCTCACTTTCTGTAGCCCCACTGTCACCTGTGTTTGGGCTGCCTCAGGTATCACCTGTGAGACAGAAAACAGGTCCCTGGCACCCCAGCTGGGACAGGAGCAGCCATTTCTCCTTTGGCTGGTGATCCTGGCCTGCTCCTGCAGACAGTGCTGCCAGTTTGCACCAGCACACACAACCAGGCACAGAGCTGGTGGCAGGGACTCGGCCAGGTGGCTCATCCCTGACAGCAAAAGCTCCATCAGAAGGAAGTGCAGGTAGATTGTGTCACCTCTGCCACCAGGAGTGTGTGAGGATGGGCTTTACTGTCTGCAAGGGTGAAGAGCCCCCATCCTAGATGAGTGTAATGTGGTGGGGGAGAGGGTTGAGTGTCAGCGGGAGATGTGCAGCCCCAGTGGTGTCTCCCAGTGCTCCTTCTGCCTCTCCAGGTTGGGTGACTCTGGGTCTCCTCGGCTGCCATGGATTGGAAAACGCTGCAGGCGCTGCTCAGCGGGGTCAACAAGTACTCCACAGCCTTCAGCCGCATCTGGCTCTCCATGGTCTTTGTGTTCCGTGTGCTGGTCTACGTGGTGGCGGCCGAGAAGGTCTGGGGCGACGAGCAGAAGGATTTTGATTGCAACACACGGCAGCCGGGCTGCACCAACGTGTGTTATGACCACTTCTTCCCCATCTCCCACATCCGCCTCTGGGCCCTGCAGCTCATCTTTGTCACTTGTCCTTCCCTCCTGGTCATCATGCACGTGGCCTACAGGGAGGACCGCGAGAGGAAGAACCGGGAGAAGAATGGAGAGAATTGCCCCAAGCTCTACAGCAACACGGGCAAGAAGCACGGCGGGCTGTGGTGGACCTACCTGTTCAGCCTCATCTTCAAGCTTATCATAGAGATCCTGTTCCTCTACCTCCTCCACAAGATGTGGGACAGCTTCGATTTGCCACGGCTGGTCAAGTGCTCCAACGTGGATCCCTGTCCCAACACCGTGGACTGCTACATCGCCCGGCCAACCGAGAAAAGGGTCTTCACCTATTTCATGGTCGGAGCCTCCTCCATCTGCATTGTCCTCACCGTCTGTGAGATCTTCTACCTCATCTTCAAGCGAGCTGTCCAGAGGGCAAGGAAATGGAGGAAATCCACCAAGCGCTCCGTCAGCTACAGCAAGGCCTCCACCTGCCACTGTCACACCAAGTCAGAGGAGAAGGACAACAAGTCCCAGCCCAGGTGTGTGGCAGCCCTAACTGCTGTCTGAGGGGTGCTGGGCAGGGTGGTGGGGGAAAAAGTGTCCTGGTATGTGCCAGGGATGGTTGGTACCATGGGTGACCATCAGTGGTGCCACCACCAGACTCTTCAGCCAGGACCTCAGTGGCTGTGAGGGGAGGGGGACACATCCATGGGAACTCTCTTGCTTGGGACCACGGGCACATCCCTGGCTGTCCCAGTGCTGTGGACACGCTCGGTGGCAGGTGGGTGCTGGCTGTCCATGGCCATGCCTGAGTGTGTCTGTTCTTCCCACAGAGGAGAAGAGCTGTGAGCTCACCCGTCCCAGCTGGTTCCCATTCCCCTCAACTTGGCTTTTCCAGCCTGCCAAATCCTCAAACCCTCAAGAGTCAACCCGTGTGAAAAATGACTAAACCCAGTGAAGTAATGTCCCTGGAGAGAGACCCATGGGTGCCTGAGCAGAGATAAGGCAAGGACAGCTCTGGAGCTCTGCAGGTGGCAGTGCCACAAGCATGGACATCACAGCAGCACACAGACCCTCCATGTCCCGCTGCTCCCATGCCGGGTGTGAGTGCACCAAGCTGGTGCCCAGCCAGGGCTGCTGTCACCAGTGCATGCCAGTCCTCCCAGCTCACTGCTCCTCACACATGCGCTGCTTTCTTTTGTACCAAGACACCAAAAGAATTCTGGGCTCCGTGACCAGAGCTCTCTTCATGCACCCAAAGTAATGACAAAGGACCAGGGCTCCTGTTAGCAATTGTTCTGCTGGCCCAGTTTGCCCGGTTTGCCATTTCTCCCCCTTGGCTCACACAAGCACCAAGCCATGTCCTGCCCAAAAGCCCTTGCTGGCTCTGCTGCTTCCCTTGGTGCCTGTGTCCCCCCTCACCTCAGATGCACATCACACACGGATCCAAAAGGCCAATAAATGCCGTGTTTGGAGACACCAAGATCTGCTCTGCACGCTGGAAACTGGGGGACTGGTGAGGGCAGAAGACATGGACTTGCAGAGGTTCCTCAGGAGCCCACAGCCAGGCCCTTCTCATCCGCCTAAGCTGGGCTTTGGTTGAGCCCACAGCCGCGCTCACGTCCGCCCGTTCCGCCTCTCCCAGCTTGTCACGCGTCGTTAAACTTTAATTCAGCAGAACCTCACGCTGGCCCCCAAGGAAATCAAGGAGGGATGAGCATCAATTATTTACTAAACCTTGATAAATATTACAATAAATAGAAATGATTTCCATTTAATCTCTCCTTAAGCAGCACTAGCAGAGGGTCCGCTGTTCCCAGCTCTGCTCAGCCCACGTTTCCCAGCCCCACGAGCGTGTTGGGGTGTGCTGAGACCCGCCACAGCAAAGCTCTGCCTGGAACCTGCGTGGGAGTTCCCGGCCGGGCTCCGGTGGGGCTCATCCCGAGGACCGACGGGACGCGGGATCGCAGATGGGCTCTGGTGGGGCTCAGCCCGGGAACCGGCGGGACGCGGGATGGGGGCCAGGCACGGTGGGGCTCATCCCAGGAACCGGCAGGGCCCATCCCGGGAACCGGCGGGATGCGGGATGGGGGCCAGGCACCGTGGGGTTCATCCCAGGAACCGGCAGGGCCCGTCCCGGGAACCGGCGGGATGCGGAATGGGGGCCAGGCACGGTGGGGCTTATCCCAGGAACCGGCAGGACCCATCCCGGGAACCTGCGGGATGGGGGCCAGGCACGGTGGGGCTCATCCCAGGAACCGGCAGGGCCCATCCCGGGAACCGGCGGGATGCGGGACGGGGGCCGGGCACGGTGGGTTCATCCGGAACCGGCGGGATGCGGGACCGCAGCCGGGCTCCGGTGGGGCTCCAGCACCACCCAGCGCCCGCCGCGCCGCACGGACCCTCGGGGGCAAATCCCGAGCGCCGCAGCCGCGGTCCGGCCGGGGCGGGCAAGGACGGAACATCCCCGGGACACCGGGCGGGGAACGGAGCGTGCCCGAAACTCCCCGCCGGGCAGGGAGCTAAACATCTCCAGGACGCAGGTCCGGGGTCGGAGCATCCCGGGTTTGCCCAGTGCGGACCCGCAGATGAAAGTGCGGGAGGCACCCGCGCTTCTCCCCGTTCCCCCCCACCTCGGCCCCGCCGGGTCCGGCCGCCCCCGCTCCGCCCGCCGGGGCCGCCCCCTCGTCCGGGGGCCACGGGAGGGGCGGCCCCGCACACCTGCGGCTCGGCCCGGCCCGGGACTAAGCCCCGGCCCCCGGTTTCCTGCCCACGCTCCTCCTCCGGCTTCCCCGAGCCCCCAATAACCGGAGCCACCCGGTCCGACCCCTCGCACTCAGCGCGGCCCGAGCCCGGCGGGACTGCCCGGCGCGGCGGAGGTGAGAGCGGGCACCGGGCTGGGGACACCGGGCTGGGGACACCGGGCTGGGGACACACACCGGGCTGGGGACACACACCGGGCTGGGGACACCGGGCTGGGGACACCGGGCTGGGGACACACACCGGGCAAGGGACACCGGGCTGGGGACACCGGGCTGGGCACGGGGCACCCCGCTGCCGGGGATTCCTTTAACGGCACAGCCCGCACTTCTCTGCTTAATTAGCAGCGGTTAATGAGGAGTCGGGGCTGTGGCCGCCCTGTCCCTCCTCACAGCCGGGCTGAGCGCCCGCGGGGTGCGGGCTCGGCTCCCCGGGATCCCGGGAGAGGCAGCAGGGTGGTGAGCGGTGGTAGGGATCCCCTGGCGATAGGAGGGGACTGGGGCTGGGAGTCCATCGCCCCGCAGCAAGGCAGCTGGTGAGGGGTTGTCCGTTCAGTTTGGGGTGAGCCCTGAATAGGCTTTGGGGTGGCAGCTGTACCCCAAGAGGTTGTGCTTCCCCTCTAGACCATCCTGCTCTCTGCTTTTTGGGAAAGGCAGGGCAGCAGTAAATTTGTGAGCTCCCATGGTGCCTCTTCTTCAGGTGCCCTGAGCTCCCAAAACCCCACTGGCTTCAGGCTGTCCTTGGAGTGGCCAGGAGAGCCAGGAGCTCTGGGTGCTGCTGGGAGGGGAGAATCCCTGTCTCTCCCAGCCCTCCTTTCCTGCACTGTGTAGGAGGAGCCCTCTGGGGCTCCTAAACGCTGCCTGGAACCCTCCCTCCCTCAGAAGTGGGATGTTCCTCAGAGGGTTTGCTGGGACAGTCTGCAGAGCAGCTATATCCTGAAAAGCACGGAGTTTAAGTGGTCACATCTACCCTGTGCTCCCCAGCATGGAAACAGGGAACTGACGTGGCTGCTCTTCTCTCTGCTGGCAGAGGCAAAGGCTTCCTAGAAGATGGGTGACTGGGAATTCCTGCAGAAACTGCTGGACCAAGTGCAGGAGCATTCGACGGTGATCGGGAAGATCTGGCTCACCGTGCTCTTCATCTTCCGCATCCTCATCCTGGGCCTGGCCGGGGAGTCGGTGTGGGGGGACGAGCAGTCGGATTTCGTGTGTAACACCAAGCAGCCAGGCTGCACCAACGTCTGCTACGACAAAGCCTTCCCCATCTCCCACATCCGCTACTGGGTGCTGCAGTTCCTCTTCGTCAGCACCCCGACCCTGATTTACCTGGGCCATGTTGTCTATCTCTCCCGCAAGGAGGAGAAGCTGAAGGAGAAGGAGAGCAAGCTCCGGGCTGTCCACAGCAAGGACCCCAAGATTGAGGAGGCCCTGGCAGACCTGGAGAAGAAGATGTCCAAGATCTACGTGACAGAGAGCGGGCGGCTGAAGATCCGGGGGGCGCTGATGTGGACGTACATCACCAGTGTCATCTGCAAGAGCATCTTTGAGGCCGGTTTCCTCGTGGGCCAGTGGTACCTGTATGGCTTCTCCATGGTGCCCCGCTACGTGTGCAAGAGGGACCCGTGCCCGCATCAGGTGGACTGCTTCATCTCCCGCCCCACCGAAAAGAGCATCTTCATCATCTTCATGCTGGTGATGGGCCTGATCTCCTTAATCCTGAACCTCTTGGAGCTCTTCCACCTCTGCTGCAAGAACCTGCTTAGCAACATCAAGAAGGTGTCGGAGCCAGCTGGACCGAGCCAGGACAGCTTTGTGGATGCCATGGTGTCGAGTCCCTACTCCCCCAAGCACTATCCCTTCCTGCCCATGGCCGAGAGCCACGCGCCCTCCTACCAGACCTACAACAAACTCTCCAGCGAGCAGAACTGGGCCAACTACCGCAACGAGGAGAGCCTGGCACTGGGCAGCGGCAGCAGGCCCCTGTCGGACCCCTACGCCCCCGGGGCTGCCGAAGCCTCCGCCCCGGAGGAGAAGCCGGGCAGCCGGCCCGGGAGCTCAGCCTCCAAAAAGCAATACGTGTAGTGCCGGGCTGGCCCCGGCTGGCAGGGGGACATCCCTGGGTCCCTTGTGCCTGCAAAGGTGCTGGCTGCGGGCAGGCAGCTGCCTCTGCCTGGTTCTGTGCTCTGCACATTCCCCTCTGGAGGCTCCGGGGACCTGCCCGCCCTGGGATGGGACGCTCGGGAGCACGGCCGTGGAGCGCTGCCGCCGCTCTTCCCTACAGACCCTGAAGGAAGGAAACTGCACCGAGTTCCCCGGGACGCCGTGTCCTGTGTGCCTTGCCGTGGGCAAGGGAGAAAGCCCTGGAGCCACGCCGTGGAACAGGCTGTCCCCAAGGCCGGGGCTGGAGGCTGCTGGCCACGGGGAGATGTGGTTCAGCCAGACCCCAGAGCCTCGGCCAGCATGGAGCCAGGAGTGCAGCCGTGGGAAGCTGCTCCTCTCCTTTCCACGGGGACTGCCGGGAAAAGCTGGGCTGGGGCAGCGCTGACTGATCCTGGCCACCAGCCCCATCCCATTCCTGCAGTCCTGCACTGACTGATCCTGGCCACCAGCCCCATCCCATTCCTGCAGTCCTGTGCTGACTGATCCTGGCCACCAGCCCCATCCCATTCCTGCAGTCCTGCACTGACTGATCCTGGCCACCAGCCCCATCCCATTCCTGCAGTCCTGCACTGACTGATCCTGGCCACCAGCCCCATCCCATTCCAGCAGTCCTGGCATCTGCCCAGAGCTCGCTGCAGAAGCTGCCCCCTCCCATGGGACACAGAGGGGTTAAGGCAGCTCTGCTGTGACCAGCAGATTCCAATGGCTGCAGGGGCACTGGGGGTGACCCAGGAGTGTGAGTTCCTCCCCTCCCAGCCCTGGGCTCTTTCCCATGGGATGTGTGCCTTAAGTTATTTTTAACCTGCTGGGCTGAGCATGGAGTTTCTGCCTTAAAGGTGCAGTTTGCAGGGACTTTAGGGAGCTGTGTCCAGCCTGGCCATGTGCCTTGGAGCCCCGTGGGGTTTAGGGAGGAATCAGCTGAAAGTTTGAGGGTTTTGGGGTTTTTATTACTTTGCACTAGTCGTCTCCTGCTGTGGGCTGTGGAGGGGGGGTGGGTGGAAGGACCAACTGTTGTCACAGGAGCTGTCACCCTGACTTCCCCAGCCCACTGAATGCTGTGAGAGGGGATTGTCCTGCTGTGGCCAGGGGGCTGCAGGTCCTGTGTGACCAAGGTGTGAGTGAGGGTGGGGTGTGGGCACCGCCCTCAGCACTGGTTCCCTTCCCCTGGCAGATTCCACGTTGCATCTTGTTGAATAAAGTTGGATGAATGAGAAAAAGTGGAGGTGGTGTGTCTGTGCTTCCTGATGCCTCCAGGAGGGCAGGGGAGGGTTTGGGGCTGAGGGAGGGGGAAATGTTGTCCTGTGGGGGTGATGGGTCTGGGGTGAAGGGGACAGTGGATGCCCAGTTGTGCTGTGGATGCCACGCACCCACTGAAAGCACAGCCCTCCCTGCTGTGGCCTCCTGTCCCCTGAGCCCAGCCTTCATTCAGGGTTTTGACAGAACTGTCACGTCCCAGGCTCATGTGGCCCAAAGCAGAGCTCAGCACCTCTCCCTCCACTGCAGATAAACGCAGCAGAGGCCACGGAGCTGCTCGTGGCTGCATAATAGGTGGAAATGAACCACAGATAAAGGCACACAATGTGGCTGGGGCTGTTGTTCAGCTCTGCAGCCACACCAGGCCAGAGCAGAGCCTGCTCTTTGTCGAGGGCCTCTCCAGTGAGGGTGGGACAGGCTAAAAATACCCTGGAGAAAATGAAATATGGGTGATATGGGGCAGTATCGCTGCCATCAGCCGCTGGAGGAAATGAGGAGGGAGGCACCCAGCGGTGCTGCCCTTGGGCTGGGAGCTGAGCCCACCCTGGGCTGGGAGCTGAGCCCACCCTGGGCTTCCTCCCTGCTGGGTTCAAGAGGGGATGAAACCTCCTGGGGTGGGGGTCTGGGCACACCACCAGCTCCCAGCTCTTCCCTGTGCCCTGCTGGAGGGTGCTGCGGTAGATCCACTGTGGAAGGACCCTGCTCTGCTCTCCCTGTCCCTGGAGGGACCCTGCCCTGCTCCCACTGTGGCCCAGTTGGGACCTCCCAGGCCACTCCAGCGCAATGGGGGGGCCCATCCCAGCGCTCCCCAGGTATCAGCAGAGCCCTGCAGCTCTGGGGGGAGCAGCTCAGTGTGCTGGGTCAGGAGGAAGCACGGAGCAGCCGTGCCATGTTTACCCACCACGGTGTCCCCGGCTCACCTCCCCTCTCCTGGACTCCTATTTTTGTTGGCACCGGGGAGCATCACACTTTTCCGAGCGACCCAGAAGGTGGAAAACAAGATGGCTGAGACCCCCCCACCCCTGGCCTGGATAGTGCACAAACACAGCTCCGTGTCCCACTATTGTTCCCGTGTTGTCACAAAGTGCCTCGGGGCAGCTGCAGTGACCCCACGCCGCCGGGACCTGCTGCCAACAACAACAGCCAGGGGCTTTACCTGCGGGCCAGGCTGGGCAGGGGGCAGCAGCAGGGCTGGGGTTGGCAGCAGCCTCCCAGAAGGTGGGCGGGCAGCCCTTAGGCAAATAAAAGTTTGGAGCTGATAAGAGCCCGGCAGAGCCCTTTGGCACAGCCAAAGGGGATGGGGACAGACAGTGGCCAGAGAAGCTTTTCTCACACCTCCACTGGCCTTTCTCACACCTCCACACTCCCTCCTGAGTAAACAAGTCCCTCTGGTCCCTCCTGGGAACAGCAGTGACTGCCCCAACACCCGGCCCTGGATGATGATGCTGAGCCCCATGTTGGCACAGGCACCCCCAGAGTTAAGAAACACTTTGAGGCAGTTCTGCCAGTCCTGGAGGGACCACATACTCCCCAGAACCCCAATTCCCGCTGGGGATGTTGGTCTAATGCCAATTACAGTCCCCAGGAGCCCTGGGGCTCCTCTGCAGGGAGGTTTCTGCCCTCCTCCCAGTTAGGACAAGTTGGTGCCAGGCACCCTGCTCAGCTCTGCCATGGCCTGGGACAGAGGGCTGTCCTGCCTGAAAGGCTCTGCCTGAGGTGCTGGCCAAGCACCAAGGAGTTTATTTTTAACCTTTCCCAGCATCCAGCAAACAGCAAGTGTCTAAATGTGACCCACTCAGGAAGAGCCAAGGTGGGAGCAGAATCACAGCCCAGAAGGGCAGAGAGCTGGGCAGGAGGGTGCCAGGCAGGGCCACAGCGTGGCCACACTTGCCCACAGGGTGCTGTTAACACCCAGGTGTGTCCTCAAGGGGAGTGGCAGCAGTCAGGAGCTTCCTCCTGGGCCAGGCACAGAGCCCTGACCCAGCATCTGTGCCCACAGCAGCCACCATCGGGCAACCCCAACCAGGAATGATCCTCTGCCCTTTGCAGCCGCTGCCAGCGGGGCACAGCGAAGGAAGAGCAAACCCCACGGAGCTGCCTTCCTCCCTGGGTTATATTTAGCCCTGCTCTAGGGTCCCTCCATGCACAGGCATGGCAGACAATGCGGCCCAGTGTGAGAACTGCAGGAGGGAGGAAACGCTCTCAATAGCTGCATCCTGACATTGTCGCTCACCCCCGGCCGCTTCCTCGTGTGGAGGCACCAGGACTGCAGTGCCCAGCACCCTGTGCCCACCCTGGCATGGTTCCCAACCCTGCCAGCAGCTCAGGGCATCATCCTGATTTAACACCAGGCAAGAAGAGGCTGCTGCCTGCAGAGCCAAGGGCTTTTTGTGGCATGGGGAGATCCATGTGGCCTAAAAACAAGGACCCACAGCGGTCTTGGAGTGCTGGGGATGGGGAATCAACCCTGAGCTGTACCTGCAGGAAGAGCCAGGCAGGGAGAAGGGAACATGTTCCACTGTAGCTGCCCCCAGCTATGGCCTGAGGGATGTGACTCGGTGTAGAGCAGAGCTGCTCCTCTCCCACGGCACTTCAGGGCTTTTTCTGTCCACAGAAGGAGCCACCAGGAGCAGCATGGAGGGAGCCATAGCAGGAAGCGAGACGTGGAGGCTGGGAAAGACTTGGCTGCTCTCAGGAAAAGGGCAAAACCAGAGCCTGGGAAAAGCCTGGGCTGGGAGGGAGCAGGAGTCTCCAGGGGCTGTGGGAGACACGCTGAGGGGACATTCTATTTGCTCTCCAGCACAGCAGAGTGAGCACCCGCCGTGTCCCGGGGCTGTGGGGACACCGTGCATGTCCCGGGGCTGTGGGGACACCATGCATGTCCCGGGGCTGTGGGGACACCGTGCATGTCCCGGGGTCACCCCACTGTGGGCAGGTCCAGGGTGTCCTGGGGTCACACCGTGCATGTCCCGGGGCTGTGGGGACACTGTGCATGTCCCAGGGCTGTGGGGACAATGTGCATGTCCCAGGGCTGTGGGGACACCGTGCATGTCCCAGGGCTGTGGGGACAATGTGCATGTCCCAGGGCTGTGGGGACAACGTGCATGTCCCGGGGTCACCCCACTGTGGGCAGGCCCAGGGTGTCCTGGGGTCACTGCACTGCACCAGGATGGGACATCAGAGTCTGGGTCCCTCCCAGCCCCTCTCCTCCCGCAGCATCAGCACTCCAGGCCCTGCAGGAAGGGCCAGGATGGCCTCGGGCCATCCCCGTGCCAGCACAGGGTCACCTCATCCCAGCCCTGCCCAGCTGGAGCATCCCTGCTCTGGTCTAAGCGCACATCCAGAGCTGCCATCCAGGTGTGCTGGAAGCACGGCTTGGAGGGGAAGTTCTTCCACCACACGGAGCCACCCCTGACCGAGGGTGGGCTCCGACAAGACCGAGCATTTGCAGGTGAATGGCTGAGTGCAGGCTCGGGAGGGCAGGGTTTTACCATAATTATTTATTCAGCAAAGCTTCCTCTGGCTCTTCGTGAGCCCCAGCCCTGAGAGCTGCCCGCTCCTATTCTTGTCCCGCCGGCACTTCCCAAGCGGCACATTGTTGGGATTCAATGGGAGGAAGGGTGGGTTTACAGCACTGCAGGCTCAGGAGAAAGGCAGCGGCTCTGGGAAGCGGTTTCACCCCTGTCCCAGCGCCTGCGGGATCCCACAGACCTGCAGCAGTGCCGGATGGGGTCCCCAGACACACGGAAAACAGCTGGAAGTGCCACGGGCAGGGGGTGGCAGCAGGGAAGGGGATGGCAGCAGGGAGGACAGGGGATGGCAGCAGGGGGAATGGCAGCAGGAAAGGGGATGGCAGCAGAGAAGGGGATGGCAGCAGGGAAGGGGATGGCAGCAGGACAGGGGATGGCAGCAGGGGGATGGCAGCAGGGCAGGGGATGGCAGCAGGACAGGGGATGGCAGCAGAGAAGGGGCTGCCAGCCAGGTGCCATCAATGCCCAGGCTGTCACTATCAGGGCTCAGCACTGTGCTGGAGCAGCCTCCCAGAGTGACACTGCATGTGGCTGGGGCAGGATGTGGGGCACCGGGGCCCCCCCAAAGGCCGATTGTGCCCCGGCCCTGGGAACGAGGGGATCAATGGGCTGTAAACAGCCGGGGGAGCCGCTCCGGCGCGGGGCGAACAAAGGCGTTCCAGAGACAGCTTCCGAGCTGGTCCCAGCTGGGAGAAGGAACAGGACCATTCCCAGCCCAGCACACAATAGGGAACAGCCCCAAGCCTGGCTGGGAAAGCAGGAGACAAAGGGGAAGGGGATACTTCAGGCGCCAGCGCCAGCCTGCCAGGGGGACACCGTGGTGGGCATTGTGAGCCCCTGAGCAGGAGGTGGCAGCGAGACAGGGCTGGGACAGGCTCTACATCACACCCAGGCTCCTCCTGCTCCTTCTCCTGAGGCTCAGCTGCCCTGGCAGCAAAGGTCAGAGTGTTCCTGAGCCCAGCCGAGGGCAGCAGACCAGCCCAGGACAGCAGCTCAGGCAGCACACAGCCGGGAGCAGGGCAGTACAGCTGTCAGCAGGGCAGGAATGGCCCTGGCCGGGGCACAGCACAGCACAGCGGGAATGATCACTGCCTGCTGACCTCAGCACGGCAGATTTATCGTCCCCGGGAGGGGAAGGCCGGGCCGGGGCAGAGCCCGGGCCTTGCTCAGGCACCACGGGAAAAAACAACCCGGGAGGCAGCGCTAACCCCGGCCCTGGCCCTGCTCAGGCAGCCCTGGCTGGGTTTGTCCCTGCTGTGCCAGCACCTGAGGGGACACCAGCCACTACCCCCAGTGCCTGCTGCCAGCCTCTCCCTGCTCAGCACCCCAGTGGGACCCCCGTCCCCTGGGACCCCACCCTGTGTTGTCACAGCCCTTCTCCCCGAGATAAAGAGGTCAAACGGAAGCAGATGACGCAGCTGGGGGAGCTGGGA